GTATGTTCTCGGTTAATGTTCTCATTACATACCTCAGATTCCAAGGCTGTTCAGAAAACGACAAGATCCATTTATATCACAATTATCATGACAAATACTATTTTTTTAGAAACTGCTATGTTTGACTGACACTTTCATTGAAACTTCTCTGAGCTACATTCTACACATTTGACAATAAAAACAATTTGAATTATCATAATATTATGGAATTACCCTTATGCTAGAAAAGAAGGGTTGTAAATAAATTATTTTTATGTTTACTTCTCTCCTACCTTTGCAATTACATTTTCCTCAATGACTTAATTCTTAAGAAGGTTTTTTTCTTCAGTTTTTCTTTCTTTTATTTCCGCTTCTGAGTAGGAACCAGAAAGAACGTGTCGCCATAAACAGTTCACCGGATATAAAAACATGAAAATGTTGTTAATGTTGTAATCGCAGCGAAGAATGTCGAAATAAATATTAACAAGTAATATGGAAAATATCAAGAATCAGTGAAAAACGTTCTATTCGTAATTCCCTTTTTAAGGCTGCGCAGTATTTGATGGCAGACCTGAGTAACAATGAATTTTTTCATCGGCTCTTGAAGAACGCTTATGTAGTTATTCATAATTGCGATGTTTACATATTGAGGTTGCAAAAATACCAAATTTTTCCTTCTGAGTCGAAAGATCTGCCCTTAACTGGATTCTTTTTCCGTCAAATTTAACTGACGTCTAATCTTATCTTTCCTTGTATCGAACTTTTTAGTAAATACCTGAAATATATTTTCGCTGTTCCCTCACTTCGATTCAGATCGAATGCCTTAAACAGCGATGAAGTCATATAAAGAAAGCCGGCTGCACACGGCTTTTTCAGATCATTATCTTAAAATAAAAATTATTATGGAAGAATTCTGTATTAATTTCAAGTCATTATCGAAAACGTCCTCAAACATCTGTGCCATAACGTCAGCAATTGTGCCTTCGGCCAGTTTTGCATTTTTATGAATATAATTGACATGACACGAGTCACGAACAAACTACCGACCTTTAAAGAAACTCTTTAAGATAAGTCACTTTGCCAAGATCGAGGACTTATTCTCTTACATCTTCTCCATGTGAGTTTAAATGTCACATTCGACCTCACGGAGTAACGCTAGCATCGTTATCGGCAGATGTTACAGAACTTTCCAACATTCCAAAAACATACATTCACAGACATCTTTGAGATAATTTATCCCCCTCCCCCATTCAACGTTGTCAATTGTCAATGTTTCTATGCCATCTTATTATATCTCTTTGTTTGTGCGTGCGCTATGATTGTTCATTTTAGCGGGCCGTAATTCATTCTACGAAGAAACACGCTATACTCTGAAGATTTCAACCATTTGAAAAAACTATCGACGAAAGCGTTAACTACAGAACGTTGTATCAGAGTTCCTTGCAAAAAACCTTTGTCTACTTGAACCGTCACTCTCGTGTAATTTTACATTATTTTGAATCATGGATCTTAAACGAATATTTTGAGCTTTTGACTGCTCAAAGTCCAGTTTTTATTGAAAGCCAATTAAATGTTCTTGTGCTTAGGATTTGACGTGCGTTCCACTTAAATTGAAATTATTTCCCCTTCTTTTAGAGCCAAGAGATGTACAGCAATAAACATCCTACGAACTATATTTTTCTCAGTCCGTACTGTAAGTTACGGAACCTCGTTTTCTCCGCTCGATTTATGAATCCCAACCAGGAAAAAAATCGTTCCGTAATTTACAGTACGGCTCTTGAACTCGGTTAGTAAGAAGTGTTTGCTGATCAACATTGAGAGAGGCAGGGGACGCAGAGGGTATCCTAACAAATGTGTTGGGAGCGCTGCACAACGGAGGATATAGAGATAATCCTCATCCTGCTATTGTGCTTTTAAAACTTTTGTATAGCCTTTTAGTTATGCAACTAGTATTTCTGGTCAAGAGACGCCACACATCAGTTCGTCATTACATTTACAGACTTTCAAGTAAGAGACTGATATCTTTTTTAATAAATTCCCGCATAGATGTTGAAATTCATTACGTAGATTTTATCCCAGTTGTGAGGAATCATCTGCGCGCCCTAGAAAAAAATCCAAATATGGATGATGAACGTTTTTGAGAAAATTGTGTCAATATATTTTTTTAAGGTATGATTTAGCCGTAAAGATTATAGAATTTAGAAGTTTTCGATTTCTCAAATTTCTTTATTGTTTTCAATATTTGTTTGTATTTGCAGTATGTAACATCTTAATAAGAATTTATAATTATTTTTTCCATGAGGAATAAGTGGAGGATAATACGTGGGTGCACTTAGATATGGAATTTCTCTTCCGGTGTTCAACTCAATAGTTCAAAGGTAAGCGCAGAGAACAAGCGGGATATCAAGTTGAACACGAGTAGAGAAATTCTATATCTATGAGCTACTCTATTACACAGCTATGTATTAACGATGTTCATCATTCACAAGGGTGGCAGATTGCAAGAGCTGGAATGTGGCCGAGGTGGCGGCATGCGATAGGGGGGTTGGGTGGACAATGGAACGGTCCTATGTGCCTACTGGGCCAGCAAGCGATGATGATGGTAACGATGATGACTCACCTGTTGATAAGAGAGGTCGTGACGGAAAAACCTCAAACTACCTGGCCATGTCGAGGTTTAGCGTTTTTCCCTTGACGATCGAACAGTCGAGGTCATTAAGTGGTTCGTTATAAGTCTTAAAAATTAAAGAAACGAAACATTTATTTAGACAGAAGTCTTTAATTTACATTAGGCGATGCGCGCATATACCTATTCCTTCATCAACTCAAACCCGCGGTAAAACTACGCAGTTAACAATACCACTTTATCAAGTATTTCGTCAAGAAACACATTTATTCTCGGGAAAAATGATTCTCAGAGTCTTAAAAAAGCACTTCAGTTAGGTGGACTAACAACTTGATAGGATAAATTTTCTTTTCCATTTTCAAGACAAAACGTCAACTGGAGCGCGCAGAGAAAAAACAGAAAAGCCAGTGCTTCAAAATAGTTCAAATACATCCGGCCCTTGGCAATATAAATGCAAAAGCTTGCGCAAATAAGAATCTTCTAAAAGTAAATTGTCAATCTTTCGATTCGATTGTCCTTTCAAAAATGTTTCTTAACCTTTCAGTTAATGCAGCTAGCATTTGTGACCTTTTTTTTGTATTTTATTTGTTTTTGGGTTTTTACAGTTTTTACAAGTACGCAAGTTACATCACAAATTTCTACATGCATAACTTTACATTACACTACTCTATTACACAAAGAAAATACCACTACACTGGACTACGAGAATAAAAACAAAAAAAAACAAAAAAAAAAAGAGGCATCGCGTATTGTTATAAATAATAAATTAGTTCAGCTATTGTTCTATCAGTTGAAGGAGGGGTTTCCATTTGTTGTAATGGATCTCAAGTTTATTATTCTTTCTGGCTATAAAACGTTCTATTTGAAACGTACTCTTAATTCTTTCTGGCTATAAAACGTTCTATTTGAAACGTACTCTTAATTCTTTCTGGCTATAAAACGTTCTATTTGAAACGTACTCTTAATTCTTTCTGGCTATAAAACGTTCTATTTGAAACATACTCTTAATTCTTTCGAAAAAGGATTTAAAGGATAGAGAAGTCTTATTTAGCTTGGTGCGATAAATAAAATATTTACCTTCTAGTAAAATATAATTAAGAAAGATTCCGTCATTGTCATGATTAGGCGCGACAAAAAAAACCAAAAACAATATCTTTAAAATCAGGAGACTTCAAAGTAATGCCCTGTGAGTTTAACATGACAGTGACTTCATCCCAGAAAGCATGCACTCTTGGACAATAAAATAACAAATGTTCTAAAGTCTCTAACTCCTTTTCGCAAAAATAACACAATGGGGAGTCTACTTTCTTAAATTTAAACAACATAACATAAGATTCTATTTAGTATTTTATATTGAAACTCCCTTAGTTTGGTATGCAAAGTTGTTTTAAAAGGCAGTAAATAAATCTTCTCCCAATCAAGATGAAAAGTGTCTTTATTAAATGCTTTGTCGTATTTCTTCATTGCAGTTGGTATACTAGATATCTTAGAGATCTTATCTTAAATAAGACATGCACAAAACAAAAGGAAAATGACAAGCATATAATGGTGTGCATGGTGTGCATATATATACACTAGAATAGTGTATATATATATATATATATATATATATACACTAAGTATAGGAAATCGTATGAACGCGAGTGCATTTCGTGATTTATGGGCACGAGTGATGTTTTGAAAGTTCTCAAAATTGCACGAGCCGTAGGCGAGTGCAATTTGAGAACTTTCAAAACATCACGAGTGACCATAAATCACGAAATGCACGAACAGGTTCATACGATTTTTTATTTATTATATTCTCGACAAAATTACTCCATCGCGCTACTCTGCACGCCTTACGTACTACAAAAAACACTTCAATGGGTTCCAAAATGCTCACATGTTTTATTTGAATCAATCAAAAATGTAATGTTGTGACAGGTAAATCAAGCGTGAAGTTCTTGAAAGTTTCTCAGAAATATTACAAGCCGAACTCAAAGGCTAAATTTCAGTTATTAAAAGCGGCAAGAGTACTTAAGCCCGCTAAACTGTTTTCAAATGTTTGATCTCAATCGGCCTCAGGGAATAACATTCTGACTTGTAGACTTTGGAGAACTGCATTACCCCTGAATCACCTTAAATGTGACTTGACAGTTGTGAAAGTTGTTCACAGTGAAAGCATGGCCGCTTGTTTTCACCTGTTCACACGTTGAAGTCGGTGCAGGAGAAGACCACATTTGTAGACCAGGAAAACTGCTGGAGGCTGCTGACTGTGGAGCATTGCTGATAATGTTTGAAAGCTGTCGCTGTTCCTTCTCGCTACCTTCATCGTAGTCGTTAAGAGACTTTTCACTTGCGTGGCCGGTCACCTGGATTATCGACTGCCTCTCGACGCTTGCTGCTCTGAGTTTCTTCACAACTGTCTTCCTTGCGTGTGGTTAGTCAATTTCTTCTTGCTTGTTTCCAGAGCTGTGTTCTTGACGACGCTCTTCATCATATTGTCGATGCTGTTTACGCCGAGCCGCTGCCTCTTGTACCAAACATTTGTTTTGGGATTTTCGATTATGGCAAGGTAAAAAGGACCTTCGTCGCGCAGCTCTTGAGGACGCCTACTAAGGTATTGCTTTAGTAACTCAACAGGACATCTCTGACCGCCAGTAGCGAACATTTTTGGCAGAACACTACGATGTTTTGTGTTCAGTCCTCCCTGCCTCGTCTTTGTAGGATTTTCTTTAAACGTGACGTACTCTGTGCCGCTGTCGTCCACACAAAAACTGAAGTCCTCGACTTCCATTGAATGGTGTTCCTGTCTTCCCCTCAGGCCAAAATGTTGAGTCAAGATCCACCACATCGTCTGGGAAAGAACTCTTGGACTGCAGTCGCCGAGACTTTGTTCACTCCATAGCATTTTTTCTTCTTCGGCTGTCAGTGTGTTCGCAGCGTTGGGTCTCTTGCCTTTTCCTTGTTGACGGAGACACTTCACTTTTCCTTCGAGTACCAACTTCGACTGGTGAAACTCTCGGTCTCGTATAATAGAGTACTTGTACTCATGCTCTTTTAAATAGCGGTCGAGGGCTGCCAGCATGGATTTTAAACTCTCAGGTTCGTACTCACACCCGTCTTTTGTGCGTATTTCTGTGTAGAAGATAATTGCAACATTTTATCGAGTTGTTCGTGCTCGTATTCTTCCATTTTTGGGTTTACTTTTCGTTGAGTCGCCCATGTTTGCCAGACATTTAACCAGGTCTGTGTAGCTTTCAACGTGTTTTTGTTTTTCGCATTTTCTTTAAGTTGTTCAACGATGTTTTGGTTTGACAAAGCAAACCGGCTGTCAGCCATTTTTTTATAATTTGGTGTTCAAATTTGGCGCTTCCCCGGTGTTTCCATGGCAAATTCTCCGTATTGCACTCTATAACCTCATTGCACTCTATAACCTATTTATGCATTCATCATTGACCAATCAGAAACGCGATATTTTGTTGAGTATATAATAAATAAATATATATATATACATATATTAATAAATGAAGATATGTTTACTTCATGCATATTCGCGATCTGTAATTAACGGGACACGGAAAAAATGGAATCGATTTGTGCTAAATATGCAAACTAGATCATTTGCATCGCAATGGATGAATTTTTATTTTTTTTCCATAATTTCATTTCTAGTGTATACATATTTTTTCCCTCGGATTTTTTTTACAATTTGAGGAGTGCATTTGAATGATCGTGGACCTAAACTTATTTAATGAAAATCACATTGACATACATGTATCACAACAAAGTAAATATCATGGAATTTTATAAAAAAGTCCGTGATGATAAACCTTAGATAGACCTTAAATAAAAATTTTGCAACTAACCTATACAACCTGGTAGCATGAGCTGTGAGTCTCCAAGTATGCAAGAAACTGCGCAGAAGAGAAATCCATGCACACCATTATATGCTTGTCATTTTCCTTTTGTTTTGTGTATGTCTTATTTATCTTTAGTTTTTGTTATGATTTTGTTACAGTTTGTTTAATTTGTGCTTTTTGATGCTTTTGTTTGTATTTTTTTTTTGCTCATTGGTTTTTTTTAATATTTATATATGTGTTTATATAAGTGAAGAATCAAAGAGGACGCATCGATTCCCTGTTACCCTGAGTTCTCAGAGTAACAGAGAATCGATGCGTCCTCTTTGATTCTTTCACTTATATATACACAGCTCTGCTACCACAGCATTGAGCACTTTATGTCAAGGTAGACTCTACCCTCACACTTATATATGTGTTTATATATATATATCTATACATGTTTTTTTTTTTGGTCTTAGTACATGTTGTCGTCATTGCCTAAGAACACAATCGGTACGCCATGGCATTTTAGGAGCAATTCGGCCTCTGTTGAATTAATTCATCAGTACATACACATCAGCGCATGTCTTGCCATAGTTATTACCTTCGGAAGAGTTGAGTAAATCCTGCCTGTACCATATGCGAAATTTATATCCAGAGAACACTTTCAGAGGGGGAGAGAGTAATTTGAATATCAATTCTGGCGAGTTGTAGTTATAGCCAGCTAAGGAATAAATTTTACGATCGTTGTAGCGTGGAAAAATCACTTCGTTTCTTTCATTTGTCACCAGGGTTGTTAATTGACTTTCCTTTGCACATCCCCAGTGACTTCCTATAGGCATTGTATGGTACTGGCAAGAGACAAATCCTGAAATGTAAACCAGCCTCAAGGATACGACATTGCCATCGTAAGGGACAGCGAATGCTCCATAGGAGTCATCTTTAGCACCGAAGCATACTCTATTTGGGTTGACTTGGAGCCAAGGAAAAGCTGAAAAGACGCACAAAATATGAGATGTTGATCGCTTGCTCTTGTTCATTCTGTTTTTGCCAATGGTACTTCGTCTAAAGCTTATTATCGCGGACGCTTTTTGTCACCGAGCCAAATCCAATTATAAGTTATATGTAGATCAAGCTGAATTATTTTCACCAGTTGAATAACATCGTTCAGCGATACCAACCCCAGCGAGCTTAAATCATTGTTAGTGGCTTCATTAGGAAACTGGACCGGACTTCGATTCAAACTGATACGTGATTACAATACTGATTTCATTTAACTTGAACGGGAAAAGGGGAAACAAAAAAAGGGAAAAAAAATAAAGAGAAAGAGATGGAATAGGGAAGAAAAGATTCTGATGGCCAAATAAACTCTGCCTTGTAACTGAGGCCTCCATGTTGACTGTGATGTTTCCGTGTGAAACCAATTAAACTTAAGAAAAATAAACTTTTATTTTGAAAAACCTCATGAAGGTTATTATAAATATCATTTTTACAATTGTATTATTGGTATTATTAATATCAGTGTCATTAATATTCATGTTATTCAAATTTGAGTCCACGCAGTCTCGGCTTTGGAGACTTGACGGTTAAATTTGTGTTATAGATATCAAATCAAATCACTATTATTATTGATAATATTATTATCAATGTCATAATAATAATAATTATTATTATTATCAGTGTTATTATCTGTAAGATCATAATGTGGAAGATAATAAATTTTATTGAAAGCAATGTTACCTTTTTCAATGATTCTTGAAGTGCGTTCACATGTATATCCGTTTGATCCATACAACGGACGGCATCTGATTCCACCACAGGGCTTGTTGTCGCATAAGTTCTGAAAAAGGAATAATTCATCGCGAGTTTGTCGCAATGTTTTTGGATTATGGCTGCTAAAACACTGAAAAATCCGCGTAGCTTTAAGACAGTGATGTTCAAACTTCCCTTGAAGAGAAAGAAAACCAAACTACGGAAATAAAAACCGAAAGTTACGTATTCGGCCTTTGGTAAAGTCATTTCTCGCGGCTGAGAACGAAAAAAGACAACTGGAAGATTTGCCACGGGCCGATTTTGGTCATTTACCTGAAAGATTTCTTTTGGTAGGGACTAAGTCAATAACTGAGAATTTGTATATTTTTCTGTAGTGATTCAACGAATGTTTACTCTTGAGTGGGCCAACCTACTGTATTATTTTCTAGTCAGTAAAGGGCTATTGTGTTTGCATGATAAACAAAATAATACATGGTTGCTTTTACATATGGAATTTCTCTTCACTATGCGCGCCCATGTATTCTCTATTTATTATATACTGAAACACTGGATAGCGTTAAAGGCGCGCTCTGATTGGCTACTCAAATTCCGATTATCCTTTGCTAATCACTTTTGAAATCATATTTTTGTGCTATATTATCTCTCTGTTTTAGTATATACTAATACTATTACATCTCAGTATTGGTGGTGAGCAGTGGATATTTACCTCGCCGTCGTGCGCCTATGTAAATATCACTCATTAGCCACCTATACTTCCGTGAATAGTTGTTAAGTAAATGATGAGGCTTTCCGTAAAATCGCCCTCTGTTCTGATCGGCTGCCGTGATTATTCCACAAGAAATTGAACTAGCATGATTGAAGTAGTTCGATAAGTAAAGTACTGTATTTGAAGACCTTGATAGAAGGGGTTTTTTGTAGGTTCACCGGGAAAAGAAAAGAAAATTATACAATCGATGATAAAGAGGTATGGAATGAAAATAAACAAAGAGGAAATGAAATCGGCATTGCTTCTTTGCATGCAGGCCATACATTGTTTATGCGAGAAGTTGTTTCACTTTTTCTTTCTTTTTTTTGAAGGTATTACTCGAAACAAATCTTATCATAATGTGCATCTTTCCCAATTTAACTTTGCCAATCAGTGTTATGGGGAATTGTTTCATGGAGCCAGATCCCGCTATTAATGTCTTTGAAGGGAGCGAATGTCGGAAAATTAAAATTAATTTTGCACAAAAGGTTCTTATTACGGTCATCTTTTCATACAGTCTCCATTGTTTGAGAAGTTGTTTTCACTGCGATTTTTACCAATTTCCATCCTTAATAATTTCTTTTTGTATAGGAAACGATTTACGCTACCGATTAATTCAATAGGTGACGGCTTGACCAAACACCATGTGCCTCTTTTTACTGTTTAAGTGTCAGGACACTATGGCAACAGGAGGCACTTAAAAGAACTTATCAGTTGTCGCTCAGTTGAACTTAACACTAGTTAAATTATTTCGCGTGAAGGCGCACGCACCATGTCGGTTCATATTTTCAATCTGATAGTGGTAGCAATAGAAAGAACTGGATGTGTAGAAAAAAACAATGTCAAAGTTAGCCCGGTATTCCTAGTCAATGAAAGAAAAAACTAGGCCGCCCGACAACAACAAAATTACAGCTCTGCGTTAACCATGGATATGTATGAGCAACACATATTTTTCCTGTCCAGAATAGTCATTAAAGCGTATATTTGAAACCGTTTTTGAAACTCTTGATGTTTTCTTAATTTTTGCCGTTTCTTTGTTTTTGCAAAATAATCTTATGTGAGGACGCATTCATTTTCAACCAGATTAGTTCTTTCTTTTATAAGTAACACATTCATCTTAAAATATTTGTTTTTGTTTTTGTTCTTTGTGAGTATGCTTATTTTCCACGGAATCCTCAATTTCGGTTTGAATAGTATTCGCCTCGAGGTTTTAATCTGAAACATATCTGATATGAGTTTTTAGGTATTATTTTAGCGTTAATAAACTTTTTCCTTACCGCTAAACTGTAGTGATGATAAGAGTTGTTCCAGTTAAGTTTGTTGGGATATCGAAATCTGTCCGCTTTCAGCAGCGCACAGGAGTGTCCCGTTAGATCCGCTTCAACTGCAAAGTTGACAGAGATGCAAAGTTCGTGTCGGATGCAGTGAAGGCCACAGGCCATTGAATCGTAGACTTTGTAAGATGCCAGTTGATCAATGTTTAGCATTCTATTCAAATGCTCGACAAAATAAACATTATTCTTTTCATCAGATCTGCGATATTGTTCACTAGTAGTAATAGTAAAAGCTGTTAGAATTTTGAAGAACTGGAGCAAAACAAGAAACTTTGACATTTTGGATTATTGCTCGACCCAAGCCGGATAGAAATGATCAACGCCAAAACAAGGCCCCCTTTAAAACAGCAATATTTAGTTTATAAACTGCTAATAACATGACAACTAAGAAAAA